GGAAGGAAGGAAGGAGGGAGGGAGGGAGAGAAGGAGGGAAGGAGGGAGGGAGGGGCATTCGCTCCTCTCCATCGGCACAGAGTGCGAGGACTTCATTTCCTGGTAGATTCTTTGCACCTTCATAAGTGCAGGCTTTGTATCACAGAGTGCTTGCCTGGTTCACATTCTTTCCCTCTGCATCAGTCTCCCGCAAGTCTGTCTGTGTCCCTGGGAATATCCCTCTAATTATTTTGTCTTCCTTTGTTTCTATAGAGGGTGTTTTGCTGTTCTATTTATAGAAATCTGACATGTGCCTGGGTTGGTTTCCTCTAAAATATTTTATTTATTCTGTAGTTATTTTGAATGTAATTTCTCTATCATTTCTTCCTAGTTTTTGTTGTTGCTGTATTGAAATGTGGACAGTTTGGGGGGATTTGCTTTATGTTATTTGAATTTCTTTGAGCCTGTCTCCAGACAAGTCAAGAAGCGTTTTTTAAGCACTTATTATGTGCCAAAAAATGAGGTGGGGGAGGGGAATAAGTATTTACATAGCACCTACTATGTGTCAAGCATTCTACTGAACGCTAGAATTACAAAGAAATGGGGAGGAAAGGAAAGGGAAGAGAAGTAAGTACATGTAGTGCCTACTACGTGCCACCGTGCTAAGCACTTGACAAATATTATCTCCGTTGAGTAAAAGACAATCCCTGCTCTCAGGAAGCTTATAGTTGGGGCTGAGGGAGACAACGTGCAAACAAGTATATACAAGCAAGATACCGACGGGAGAAATTGTAGATAATCTTAGAAGGCAGGCAGGAAAAATTAGGGGGATCAGGTAGAAGACAGTCTTGAAAGAGGCCAGGGAATCTAGAAGGGGGGGTGAGGAGAGGGGGTTCCAGGCAGAGGCGACAGCCAGAGGGACTATCTGAAACTGAGAGATGGGGAGAAAAGGCCGTTGTTACTGGGCTGTGGACTGGGAGAGGACCGGAAAGGTAGGAAGGAGTCAGGCTGGGAAGGGCTTTAAGAGCCAAGCCTGGGTTTTCTACTGATCCCATTGATACCACAGGCAGTGCTGGAGTTTACCGGATGAGTCTGGCGTGGCCACACTGTGCTTTAGTGAAATCACCACGGTGGCTGAGTGGAGGGTGGACTGGAGTGGGCAGAGCCCGGACAGGCACACCCCAAGCTGCAGCGATAGAATCGCTGTGACGGGCCGGGGC